TCAGACACCTGATATTTGACCTAGGTGGCAAGAACACACAATGGAGGAAATACAGCATCTTCAACAAATGATGCCGGAAAACTGGATCTCCACCTGTAGAAGAATAAAAGTAGGTCCTTATCTTTCACCTTGCACAAAAGTCAACTCCAAATGGATCAAAGACTTCAATGTGAAACTTGAAACTCTGAAACTATTAGAAGAAAACATTGGCAGTAACCTACAAGATATTGTTTTAGTGTTGTAATAAGCCATCTTGTTACCGTAGCTTTGATCAGAACTTTGTGGAGGTTCACTAGGGAAAACTACCTCTCAGGCTTTGGTGGAACCTAACATTCCAGTTAGGCAGGTCAATCACCTGGCTGAGGGAGTACCCTGGAGTAATGTGGAACCACCCTAAATTCTGCTTAAGAGATAGGAGGAATAATTATCCCTTTAATGAGATAATATACTTTTCCTTCCAGAATTCCCAGCCTCTGGTCTTGGGTCTACCCACTTTTCTGAGTCCTGACTCTTTCTTTCCTTCTGTGTTATAAGTAAGCTTTTCCTAACTTGGCTCTGTGCTTTCCCTAGAGCGTTGTTCTGCTCCCAGCAGCTTCTTGTCCCCTACATGGTAGACCTCTGTGTCTAACTCGAACAGCATGGCTTTCTTTCTTCCTCCTCTCCATTCTCTTCCTCCAGGCAGCTGCCAAGATTGCAGCTTTTCTGCTCTGAGATTTTTCTTTTATATTTTAATAAACACGTCCTTGAGCATCCTTTTGAGTCCATTCTCAAATTCATTTAATAAGACTAGGAATAGCAAGAGGTACCTCAATTCCCCCAGTAACACTAAGCCATCTTTGGACACCCTGGCCTACCCCAGTGGGCACTTTTTAGGTGCTCACAGCTGAAGACTTTCCAGTCTTCCTTACAAACAAGCGCTTTCTCACATGTGCTGATTTTGGAAGGCTTTGCTGAACGCCTTTGGACCTCACTCTCCCCACCATCTATTCTGACTCATGCAGATTTCAAATGAAGAGTCTGTACAACTTGTGTAAAATCAAAAACTAGATGGTGCAGTTCTGAAGAGAAGCTGTGCAGAGACCCAAATGAACAGGAACAGTACCAGCGGTAAGAATCCAGGGACCCACCCTGGAAGAGGCAAGGTAAAAATATATGGCTTACCAATTTTGTAAGCTTGAGCTCTGCAATGCTGGGAGAAAGCTTTAACATTAAAACCTCCCTCTCTGCACTCTGTTAATTGCTCGTCAGAATATAAAAGAAATTAAATAGCAACCTCTCCAATTAAATCCTAGCAGCTACCACTTCCTGTGGTAATGAGAGAGATAGATCTCCTGTAATTAATCCTGAGCCCCTAGATGCTGCTTTTGCCCCTTGGAAGTCACTCTCAGCAGTTGGCTTTTCAGTGGAACACTGAGGATTTGTAGCTGCCTTTTACGTTCTGTGTGTTATTAATACCCAAAATACTTCTGTGTAAAACAATAATTGCCTGTCTGCCAGCTCACACCTGATCCTGAATACCTGGGCTGTTGAAGCTAAACCCATTGGCATGCTTTGCTGGGTAACTGACCTCTCTCTAATGGAAACCTTTCAGGATCAGACCCGTCCTGTGCTCTTGATCCCATCCCATTACCCTCAAGAGGGAAAACAGGTTATATAAGGAAGGTTGACAAAAACAGGATCCTGTTTCACTTGTGGGTGCTGCTGGTTTGTGAGCAAGAATCCTGGGGAACAAATTAGAGATAATGGCTTTGGCCGAGCTCCGCTGGCAGTGGAGTCTGGAAGGGGATACTGCTGACAGCATGACAAGAGTCCAAAGGACAACCTCATATGGTCTTCAAGCACAGTCCACCTACATTTTCTTTTTTTCTTTTTTCTTTTTTCTTTTTTTTGTTTTTTTTTTTTTCTGAGACAGGTTTTCACTGGCCTAGTACTTGCCAAATAGGACAGACTGATTTTCAACCCTGGAACTCCAGTCTGCATTGCTCACTGCAACTGCTGCTTCTCAATCCAGGGCTTTTCCACCTCACTCGTCTCACCTTCACATGCCTGGTAGATGCCAATCATATAACTGACAGCCTTTGATTGGAATATATTAGCCAGAGGGAAAACTCAGGAAAACCAAAAGAGAAACACGGTCTGAGGAGCAGAGGGGCAGACACCAAGGTAGGTGTTAGGGCTCTGCATGCTTGGTTCACTCACTCTCTGTGTTCTGATGTTCTAGTGCTTTCTCTTTGTGTGTGTGTGTGTGTGTGTGTGTGTGTGTGTGTGTGTGTGTGTCTTTCTGTCTGTGTGTATCTGTGCCTGTGTGTGTGTGTCTGTCTATCTGTGTCTGTCTATCTGTGTCTGTGTTTGTGTCCGTGCCTTTGGGGAGGGGCATCAGAGGACATTCTGTTAATTATGCTCTATTGATACTTTATTTTCTTAAGGTAGTGTCTCAGTGAACCTGACACAAGCTCCAGCAAGCCTCCTGCCGCCACCCTTCAAAGGGCCCAGGATACAGGAGCATGTGGCTGTGCCTGGCTTTTCATGTGATCTGAACTCAGGTCCTCAGCATTGTGCAGCAAACACCCTTTATCCACTGAGCTATCACTCTAGTCCTTTGGTACTTTCTATTGGACAAAAGCAAACTCTGTGGCATTGGTGAGAAACGTCCAATGATACGTGGCCAGGGTCCCAGGATTCAGGACCTCTTGAAAAAGGGGAGGTGAGTCACTGGGAAGGTCCAGGGGATACAGCAGCCCCTTCATATCTATGGGTCCTGCAGGCATGAATTCAGCAAATTATGGGTCAAATTTTCTTTAAAGGATTGTGTCTGTTCTGTAAAACTTCTGTAAAAGTTCAGTAAAAACATAAAGATGATTATATGTATGAAATATACAAAAAATTCAACAAAAATTAATTTGAAAATTTATGAAAGATTTTAAAAGCCTTGTTTGAACTGGACATCTACAGACATTTTCTTATCATGATTACCTAAGAAATACAATATCTAACTATGCCATATTCACATTTTATTTGATAGTCCACATCATCTGGAGATGACTGAAGGCATATGAGAGGATGTTCTAAGATCGTATGAAAACACTGCTCCATTCTCCAGAAGGACCTTGAGCGTCTGTCAACTGTGGTATCCACACAAGTCCTGACACCAGTCCTATAACTATGGGGGGATGACTGGATACTGCACGTATCTCAAACTTACTGAGTCCCCAACAGAAACCTGGACATTAAGAGAGACAAAGGAAGCATTGTAATTTGGGGATACATAGCCAATGAATTAAATCTGGATCCCAGTACTTATCAGCTCCGGTAGACTGTGAGGGAAATTACTGTGTGTGTATGCCCTGTGTTTTTGTCTATTAGGTGGTAATCATAATTGTACATATTTCATAGGATCCGAGAGGATTAAATTAGAAAGTGCATCT